GTTTCAAAGACATTTTCATTGAACTTTCCTCTGTTGTCCTTTCTTTCTTTCACCCTCCTACAAATTGTGCTTCCTTAAAGGACAGTTTTATCTGGTCATTTCACTGCTAAAAAACTTCGTAGGTTCCTTACTGCCTGTATTATTAAGAACAAACTCTTCAGCCTGTCATTCTTTGACCAGCCAAGGTTCTAAAATATTTGTGATCTCTTGTGCAGTATCTTGCATTTTGTAATCACTCAGTAAATATTTATTCAGTTATTATATTTGAGATCTCCCACAACATGTTCCCAATGCCCACTTCCCACTTAGGTCCAACTAGTCCCTGACTTGCACCCAAAGCACTATTGTGTGAATTACTTGATATTTACAGAACCAGTCCCCAAGTGTCCTGTTGCTGATTCATTCCATCATTCTTGTCCAGACTCACCCAAGTCCATTTCTGAACCTCCTCTCTATAGGTTTTCTTTGTTCTGTCTCTATTTTTGTCCCTTTATTATGACTCACTTATTTTATTTTCTTGTTTTAAAGTCACCCTTGGTTTGTTCCTTCCACTAGATGTTAAGTTATTGAGGCTAGCAAGTTTTTTCACTTGTCTTTGCCTCCTCTTGAGCCCCAAGCTCAATGAGGAATATGTAGGTATTTTTAAAAGTTTTTAAATTGACTCATTCTTGTTCGATCAGTTCCTGGATGCCTAAGAGGACACATACAACCAGACCACTGTCCTCCATAAAAACTCCAGATACCCAAGCAAAGATGAGACTCATGCTCCTTTTCCTTTCTGAGTCTTCAGATGCTACAGCTGTATCTGCTCTATGTCTTCCAGTAAACTCTGCTCTTACTTCCTCTTAGCTTGCATTTGATTTTCATCCTGCATGAAGCAAGGACCCACTTGGCTGGTCCTGTGGGACCCACTCTGGGTCCTTGGACCTGGGTTGCTGCATCATCTTGGTGATTATGAAATGACCCTCAGAGGAACAATTGTACCCCAAAATTAAGTCTGCACAGCACAATTTGACCTTTGGGGATTGGTAAGTTCCTCCTCTGTGAAACGTAGTTGGTTTGATGCTGATGTAATTTCTGTCTATGTGCTCCTCTGTGTAACTGGTCTATTCTCTGGGGAAAAGGAAAACTGATATGGGACCTGTTCTCATTCCCTGTGCTCGCTCCCTGTTCATTCCCTATGCTCTGAATTGCTTTAGCTGGCTCTGAAACTTTACTCTCACTTTAATTGTAAGACTCTCTGGTTCAGTTCTTGGAGTTTTTGTTAAGGCTGTTAGCTGGTATAAGAGACTGAATCACTCAGCTCCAAAGAAAAGGGACACTTGTTCCTTCCCATCGGAAAGTGTTTTTAGGTGACTAAGAACCCAGGGAAGTGTCAGAGGTTATTCCTCATGTAGTAGTCCCCATAGAGGAAATCTTCTCCATGATAATTTATTTGCGGCTTGCTGGGAACACACACGTAAGACTGATCATACAGTGCTCCAAGCCCCCACAGTGGTTTTAGACTGTCACCAGGAGAAACCAAGATACTTTTGGGGAAGATCAGCCTGTTGGTGACTCTCTGGGAAGTTCTCCCCATAAGCAGCTCATTTGATCCACCACATGTTTTCCCTAGAATAGAGTGCAGACTTCTAAGTCTTTCTTCTTCACTGCTGGGTGGATGTCTCCTCATGGTAATTATGGGATGCTGGTATTACATTGAGGATTGGTGGCCAATCCTGTTGAGAAGTAAAACTCTTAGAATAAATAAGTGGTCCTGCTATACACCCAGTTGCACTGGGTTTTCTGCTTCTAGGGGTGAAACATGTGGCAGGCTGGTCACTGCTGGGTAGACGTTGCTTCCTTGAATGAGACATAGTGGATGTCTCAGTGAGACAGGCAGCAGGCTGGTCACTGCTGAATGGGTGTCTCACTTAGACACATGGCAGACTGGACACAGACAGGTGGATCTCAGTAAGACATGTGGCAGACTCTTTACTGCTGGGTGGATGTCTCCTTTTTGGATTTCCTAGAGACATGTAACCTACCAAAACTAAAGCAGGAAAAAAAAAAGAAAATTTGAACAAACCAGTTACTAGCAATGAAATTTACTCAGTAACCAAAAAACAAAAGTCCAGGACCAGATGGCTTCACAGGCAAATTCTACCAAACATTTAAAGAAAAGTTAATACTTACTCTTCTCAAACTATACCAAAAAAATACAAGAGGGAGGAAAACTTCCAAATTCATTCTATGAGGACAGTATCACCTTGATACCAAAACCAGGTAAAGACACCACAAAAAAAAGAGAACTACAGACCAGTATCTCTCATGAATAAAGATGCAAAAATCCTTAACAAAATATTAGCAAACTGAATCCAACCATACATTAAAAAAATCCCACACCACAATCAAGTGGGATTTCTTCCCATGATACAAGGATAGTTCAGTATTCAGAAAACAATGAATGTGATCCATGACATCAACAAGAGAAAGGATTAAAAACCATATGATCACTTAAATAGACGTAGAAAAAGCATTTGACAAAGTACAGCATCAGTTCATGATAAAAACCTTCAACAAAGTAGGTCTAGAGGGAGGATTCCTTAACATAATAAAGGCCTTATATGAAAAACCCACAGCCAACATCATACTCAATGGTGAAAAACTGAGAGCTTTTCCCCTAAGGGCAGGAACAAGACAAGGATGTCCACTTACCACTTTTATTCAACATGGTACTGGAAGTCCTAGTCACAGCAGTTACACAACATAAAGAAATAAAAGGCATCTAAATTAGTAAGGAAGAAGTAAAACTCACTGTTTGCAGATGACATGATACTATATATAGAAAACCCGAAAGACCACCAAAAAAACTACAAGAACTGATAAATGAATTCGGTAAAGTTGCAAGATACTAAATCAGTGTACAGAAATCTGTTGCATTCCTATACACTAATAATGAGGTAGTGCAAAGTGAAATAAAACAATCCCATATACAATTGTACCAAAAACAATAAAATATCCAGGAATAAACTTTACAAAAGAGGCAAAAGACCTGTAATCTGAAAACTATAAAACACTGATGAAAGATGACACAGAGAAATGGAAAGATATTCCATGCTCATGGATTGGAAGAGCAAGTATTGTTAAAATGTCTATACTACTACCCAAAGCAATCTGTACATTTAATGCAATCCCTATCAAAGTACCAACAGTATTTTTCACAGAATTAGAACAAACAATCCTGAGATTTGTATGGAACCACAAAAGATCTTGCATAGCCAAAGCAATCTGGAAAAAGAAAAACAAAACTGGAGGTATCACAATTCCATATTTCAAATTGTATTACAAAGCAGTAGTAATAAAACAGTATAGTACTGGTGTACCATAGACACATAGATCAATGGAATAGAACAGAAAACGCAGAAATAAACCCACAATTATATCGTCAATTAATCTTCAACAAAGGAGGAATGAATGTACAGTGGGAGAAAGACAGTCTCTTCAACAGATGGTGTTGGAAAAACTGGACAGCCACATACAAAAGAATAAAACTGGACCACTTTCTTTCACAACACACAGAAATAAATGCAAAATGAATTAAATATCTAAATATGAGACTATAAAAATCCTTGAAGAGAACACAGGCAGTCATCTCTCTGACATCAGCCATAGCAACATTTTTATAGATATGTCTCCTGAGGCAGGGAAATAAAAGCAAAAATAAACTATTGGGACTACATCAAAATAAAAAGTTTCTGCACAATGAAGGAAACAATCAACAATACTAAAAGGCAACCTACTGAATGAGATGTTTGCAAATGACATATCCGATAAAGAGTTAGTTTCCAAAATATATAAAAAACTGATACAACTCAATACCTGAAAAACAAATAATCCAATTAAAAAACCGGCAGATGACATGAACAGACATTTCTCCAAAGAAGACATCCACATGGCCAACAGACACATGAAAGGATGCTCAACATCACTCATCATTAGGGAAATGCAAATCAAAACTACAATGAGCTATCACCTCACACCTGTCAGAATGGGTAAAATCAAAACACAAGAAACAGTAAGTGTTGGTGAGGACGTAGAGAAAAAGGAAACCTCATGCACTGTCTGTGGGAATGCAAACTGGTGCAGCCACTGTGGAAAACAGTATGGAGGTTCCTCAAAAAATTAAAAACAGAATTACCCTATGATCCAGTAATGGCACAACTGGGTATTTACTTAAAAAATACAAAAACATGAATTCAAAGGGATACATTCACCCCTATGTTTATTGCAGCATTATTTACAGCAGCCCAACTATGGAAGCAGCCCAAATGTCCATTGAGAGATGAATGGATAAAGAAGATGTAGAATTTTATATATATATAAATATATATAAAATAAGTTATATATATATTACATATAATAAGAATATGTGGGATATATAATAATACATATAATAAACTATATATAAATATTATTCATCCATAAAAAGAATAAAATCTTGTCATTCACAACAACATGGATAGAGCAAGAGAATGTAATGCTAAGTGAAATAAATCAGTAGAGAAAGACGAATACCATAGGATTTCACTTGTATGTGTAATTTAAGAAACGAAATGAACAAAGGCTAAAAAAGAGACAAACTAAGGAACAGACTCTTAACTACAGAGAATAAACTGATGATTACTGGAGGGGAGTTGGGGGGGATGGAGATTAAAGAATACACTATCATGATGAAAAAAATAAAATACCAAAAATGAGTTTGTTAATTGAAAGCCATCACCCTGTTTTAAATATGCATAAAAGACAGTTTAACTAGACATTCAACTTTTGAGAAGTACCATTACTTGAAAACTGAAGAGAAAAATTATCTAGAAGACTGTTGTGTTTAAATTTTATTTCTGATAGCAACTAGAACACAGTAAACAAATTTTGATATCATTGGATTAATATGTAAAACATGATTGAAATAACTCATTCCAGTTATTGTTTTGTTTTTGTTTTTGTTTCTGTTTTGGTAGAGAGATGCTGAATTCCAGGAGCATGAAAAGATTCTGTCTCCAGATTTTCTTTCAGTTGCTCAAATCACTGAAATGCTAGCAGAGGACGTAGATGGAATTCAACAGTAAGCACTTCAGTATTACAACCAAATATAGAACAGTTCTAGTTCTGCATCTATAAATGATCATGATATGCTATTACATAATTTAAACTTTTTTTTCAAAAGAATTGTTATTATATTATGCAAATATATATATCCAAATATATATAATATCCAGAGTCTGGAACACCAAAATTCTCAAACAACTGACTTTTTGCACTGCTTAGCTGTCTTCTTTATGGGAGAAATGCATTTCAGACCAACATGCAAATGTTAACAGAGAATAAGGATTTATTGTTAAAAGCAGTCTTTAACATATGCTGTCTTCTACTTCTTTTCTCTTTCATTCATAAAACTCAATTATGCACAATAACCTTTAGGTCTTCTGTCTCATCATGACAAGAATAAGTTGTATTTTCTGTAATATTAAGAATTAATACATTTTAATATTTTGGAAACCCTGAGTATTAGCCATCCACCTGTGATTTTTATTGGATATGAAGCTATACTAAATACTCTGATTTCATGTATTTTGCCTAAAAATGTGAATGTAACTGAATTTATGGGAACAATTCTAATATATGTATATCTCATTCTTAAAGCCATTGATTTCTACAGCAAATCATTTACTTAGTAGTCAGATATATCTAAAACACAAGTTCCTAACATATGTTTTGAGTAATCATTCATCTTAAAAGTTATCTTGCTCTAATAATATGAAGGCTGATTGACTATAATGTGTAGAGAGCCCACTCTACACATGATGTGATGTTCTGGACTGTAATGTCTCTTCTGCAGGCCAGTCATCCGGATGTTAGGAGGGTATTGTGAACCATAATGGACAAATAGAAAATGACTCTGTCAGTGGCTATCATTTGCAAACCTTTCAAATATTGTGGAATAGAGGTGATTTACTACTGAGAAGGAAATATGACAGATGTACTGGCTGGAAGAGAAATCTGAGAAGGGAAGACATTAAGAGCAGGCAAATGACACTGACAGGCCTTTTCCCAGGATGCTCTTCACCTTCAGGGCCTGCAAATCTTGCTAGAAATCCTGGTGATCTGTGATTTGGCCATACTGCTTACCATCTATATCTTTATAAGTATTAGTCAATTAAAAATTTCACAGATTTTTAAACAAGTATATCATAGTAATTTTAGCATTTTTAGAGAAATGAATGCCCATTGGAAATTCCGATTTTTAGTATCAGAATTGATCAGTAAAATGCTTTCATTGTATTAGTATCACTGATTATTTATGCTTTAAGTAAAATATTTTCCATTTCTAGATAATCCCAAATGTTGTTGATCATTAAAGTGCAAAAAATAGGTATTTCATACTAGGCAAAATAGTATGATGCAAATGAAAGATATTTAATATAGTTTACAATTTATTTGTATTAAATATCAAAGATGTTATATTAAATGCAATTAATATTAAATAAAAGGTATTGCAAACAAATTTTTTATACTTGTTTATTTCTTACAACATCTTAAGTTGTACTGTGTACCATACCTTGTGTGACAATCTTTTTTTACCACTTATTGGCTCTCTTTGTTGTCAAATATTCAAATTCTAAAAGTATTTTTAATCTTTAAGAGGTGATGTCTAGGATAAAGGAAATAATACAGAGGGTGATACAGAAGTTAACTGTATAGAAACAACCAGGTTCAACGTAGGTTGACCTTTTAGATTGTCTCATTAATAGAATTCACCTGAAGTAATCTCAGATTTTAAGATATCAATTATGGATAAATGACAGTGTTATGTCAGGAGCCATTTCTTTGCAAAGTAATTTTCTTGAAGTTCTTTATATGATTTTTGTAACAGTAATCCTGAAATATTTGCAATCAATCATTCACTTCCCATTTAAAATAGCATTATTATAAATGGGGATTATATACTTTTGAAAATGACAGAAATATAATTTAGGTATCCTGTCACCAAGTGACAGAAGTATGCCAAAATCATGCAAATCATGCAAAGTTATATATATATATTTATAGTCTACAAAGCTATAAACCTATTTAAATACATTATAGGAAATCACATTTCCCTACGTTTTAAAATTAAAAATTGCATTTCATGAAAGCAGCCAACCAAATGAAACAATATAGTATCATTAAAACATATTTCTAGAGTACACTTCAAGTAAAGTTAAATGTCTGAGTACATTTCTCATATCTCCTATTATCAATCATTCATGCTTTTAATGTAACCCTGATTTTTTACAGATACACCCAAATCCTTTTTGAAAAAAGGTTAAGGACTAAATTGAAAATAACTATTTAAACACAGAAATAACCCTGAGAGATCTTTTAATAACCTTCCATAACTGGGCCTCCATGAGCTGTTCAGCTCTTGCCTTAAGGCTTATTCCTGAGTGTCATCATATTTAAAAAATAAGATGCAGTCCAATTTCAAGAGCATGTAAGAATAATGTAATACCTTTACTGGAATTCTTGGTGAGACAAAGTAGAGAGTTACATCACCTATCACTATAGCACAACTTCCTAAATCCCTGTTAAGCATCTTTCTCTTTCCCTGTAGTCTCTAATGCCATCTCTCCTCTCCCATGTCCCATCTTCCCTTATCCCAGAGGAAAAACTTAAAGATTTGCCAGTAAAATGCATGGAAACTTTGCATTCAAATTACAACAGCATCTTGTTCCAAGTGCCTCCCTGCATAACCTCCTTTGGGGTGAAATATCTGAACAAAGAATAGAAATGGTGACTATCCAGCCCTGCAATTCAAGTTGAAGGTTAAGATTCAAATGGTAGTGAGGGAAGTGGTGGAGGGGGGATGGGGGAGAGCAAAGATAGAGGATGTCAAAGAAGTTTCACTAAAATACTCTTAGACAAATAGTCGGCTTCATTTACATATAATCAGACACTGAAAATAATGAAAATAAAAAAGCAAAGAGCACATGCAACTATTTAAGTCAAATATTTAATTTTGTAAAAGAACAGCACGGAGATGGCAGATGAAAAGTACAGTTAGAAGGAAGACTAACTGTTGGGAACAGAATGTTCAGAGATAGATTGACTCCAGAGTTGATTGACTCAAGGCCTCAAGTATCATCAAGAAATGATTATAATTTTAGAATTGATTTTTCTTATAAGATGGCTGCCAGTAACAATCAAACCTACATATCTACTCTTTTGTATTTTGGTTCCACAGAAGAAAGTAAGCCTCACCCTTAGTTAGGAATTAGAACAATTTAGGAGAGTGCCCACCATAGACCAGTAGTTACTATAGAGAATACCATATACTGAATGCCATTATATGGCTTTATGGGAAGAGGGAGAGATTATCATAATTGGTTTAGAGGAATCAGAACTCACTTTTGGGGTTGAGGTCTACCTTGACACCCCTATAGATGAGATGGATGTTAGAGAGTTAAATACAACATCAGCTTTATTTTTTCCCAAACTTGTTTAATCCTGCTGTATTTATTATTCTGATTATAGAGTCTATTTCAATATTATGAATAATAAGGATTTCCTTTTTTGAAAATGGCAGTATAAAGTTGTCACACACCCACACACAGTTCCTCAGAAACCACATATAAGCAACAAGGAAATACCAATAACTTCTTTGTCCAAACAAGGTGAATCCTGTATGCCCAAACCACAAAATAGAGGATGACTGCCAGAAGCATTATAGATCAAGCAGAAGTGGGGAAAGAACAAGAAAGATACACATAGTTGAAGATCTTAGAGTGAGTTAAAAAATATAAATTATTCTCCTGGGTGAGAAGAAAACCCTGAAGTGCCATTTCAAGAACTCTTGTTTGCAACAGCAGGGCCAGATAATTCCCATATTTACAAGAAATAGATTGTTTATGTGATGGTTATGAGAACCTATCCTACTTTTATTTTTCTTCCCCCCACTAATGAAAAAAAGAGTAAAAAACTAGAATAAATGACACAAACTTAACTCTGTACAGAAAATAGTTTGTCACATGGCCAAGTCTGAGTACAAAACAAGGAATATGCATACAAAGCCATTTTAAGAAAAAAAAGTAATTGAAGAATGGGGGAAAAATACAGGAAAGAAAATACAACCAAATGAATATAGCCATGAGCAGAAAAATATACTGTCAAACATTTATCACGAATTAAAAAAAAAACTTATGAAGCAACCACAACAAGAGCATAAAACAGAGATATAAAAACTCAAGGAAGAGATAACAAGAAATAAAGGTGATAAAGCATGTAAAAAAGCAAAGAGTAGAAAAGATCTTACAGAGGTGAGCTCTGTAAGCAACCCAAGGGAGAATTAACACTGCTAAAAACACTAAGGGACCTAGAAGACCGCATTGAGAAAAGTATATAAAATTAAAAGGAAATGATTTGAAAAAAATTTTGAAGGTTAATAGAAAATTATAACTATAGACAAAATGAGTAAAACAGACATAATTTGAATTCTTCAAAAAAGAAAACAACAAATATTTAACAATATAGTTCCAGAACATCATCAGAAACAAACTTGATTATAAATGGAAAAAAGATACTAAATTTCAGAGAAAAAAAATGCTAGTAGAGTAACTGTACTTCGAAGACAGAAGAAGGAAGAAGAGGAGGAAGATGAGGAAGAGAATTACAAGAATAGAGGAAGCGGAGGAAGAAGACCAACAAGAATGCTCATGATTGCTCTCTTCATCTCTTCCTCCTCTTCCCTCTTTCTGTTTCCTTTTGAATGTCATTTTGGACTTAGGATTTTGATATGACTTCTCCCTTTCTCTTTCCTTTTGAAATGTCATTTTGGACTTAGGATTTTGATATTTTTAGATTTAGGGAATTATAGAATTTTCATTCAAGAAAAATATCTGCATTTTCAAAACTTAGAAAAGGAACTGTTCACTAATCTGATTTTAATGTCTGGATTTTTCTTTTTATTACAGAAAACTGAAAAAGTTTTTGAATTTCAAAAACCTTCACACCTGTTTAAAGGAAGCCATTCTACTGGATTATTATGTATCTGGATTTTTGTGGGCTAGAGGAATGGAATTTTCTGTTATTCAATATTCAAAATTTATGACTTTACTAGATATGTTACTTCATAATCTTAGAAGTAAGTACATTATTTTTCTTTTTTTTTAAGAAAAGAAAATTTAGTCCACTGTTTAATGTTCTTAAGCAAAAGTTCCTAATTTTATTGTAATTCCTTCAGTGAAAATTATGGGATTTTTTTCTGGATAGAGCAAAGATATATAGTCCACACCTTCATTAAGTTGTAAAATTTCAAACAGTATTTAACAGGCTAAAGTTCTCTTAATTAACTTGCCAAAGATATGTTAGCTTCATTTAAAAAATCTTATCAATGCCATCCATCCCCAAAATGTCATGTAGTTCACATTTATTTAGGTATTTTTTCATTGTTTGAACTGTTTTATTTCATCTTACCTAAAAGTATTACTGGGATAACTCAGAAATGACTAATGAGAGGAGGTACTTTAGTCGATATCTAAGCCCCATTAAATAGACATTGCTCACATACACTTAGATTTTGTGACTTTTTTTTCTTATATATAACATTGAAATGAGTTACTATAGGAAATTTGGAAATTCTTCCTTAGAGCACTTTTCATTGTGATAAATTTTGTTTCAGAATAAATACAATTGCTTCTTGGAAGAAAGAAGTCTATCACTGATATATTGCCAGCTCTGTGTGCTAGGCACTGTTTTGTTCTAATCTTTAACATGCATTATTGAACCTCAGAGCAGCTCCTGCATGGGAGGTATTATAACCACGGTCTCAGAGCTGAGAAAGGAGTCCAGAGAACAAGGTTGCAAACTGGGAACATACAGAACTAGAACTTGAATTTCAAAGTATATAATCAAAAGGCCAGAAGGGAAGGGGTTGAGGGGATTGGGTAACTGGGTGATGGGGATTAAGGAAGGCACGTGCTGTGGTGAACACTGGGTGTTATACACAACTAATGAATCATTGAACACTACATCAAAAACTTATGATGTACTATATGCTGGCTAACTGAACATAATAAAAAAAATAAAATTCCAACCCCCAAAATATTTTAAAAAAATAATAATAAAAAATAAAGCTCCATAAAAAAAAACGCCATGAGCACTATAAACACACAAGGGTATTTATGTCTCGATTGAAAGACGTGGATAAAGAAGATGTGGTATATATATATATATATACACACACACACAATGGGATATTATGCAGGATATTAAGAGAGGAAAAAAATGAAACAACACAAAACCAGAGAGGGAGACAAACCATAAGAGACTCTTAATCTCAGGAAACAAACCGAGGGTTGCTGGAGTGGTGGGGGGGGGGAGGGATGGGGTGGCTGTGTGATGGACATTGGGGACGGTATGTGCTATTGTGAGTGCTGTGAATTGTGTAAGACTGATGAATCATAGACCTGTACTCCTGAAACAAATAATACATTATATGTTGATAAAAATAATTTTTAAAAATTAAAAAAAGACATGCTTATGTCACTTGAGAGCTTGCTTCTTCCTTCCTCCCTCTCTCTCTCTCCCTCCCTCCCTTCCTTCCTTCCTTCTTTCCTTTTTTTCCTTTCCTTACTTTTTTTAAACTTTTCTTTGCTTTTTGGTTGTTTGCTTGTGTTTACTTTCTTTTCTTCTTCTTCTTTTTTTTAATGAGCAGGTAGAAGACCTTGCTCTCCCTAAAGAATTGACAACAGAATTGTCAAATATGTGGGTGCCTATTTGTGGCCACAAAAAGCCTATTCTGTTCTGTGTATCAGTGTCTAGCAGGAGAAATTTTAAGCAAACTAGCAAAACTAATAGAGAAGCCACTCATGCCTTATACACCCTTCCTACTCCTAGTCATCCTTACAAGGGAAGAATTGGTAGTTCTTGTATGTGAGGAGAAAAAAGCATTATTTTCCTTCTCTGCAAGTGGGAGAATCTTATCTTTGCTTATATGTAAGTATGTAGTGGCATGTTAAAGATAAATAACGGGGCGCCTGGGTGGCTCAGTAGGTTAAACATCTGCCCTCAGCTCAGGTCATGATCCCAGTCTCCTGGGATTGAGCCCTGCGTCGGGCTCCCTGCTCAGTGGGGAGTCTGCTTGTCTCTCTCCCTCCCCTCTGCTCATGCTCTCTCTCTCTCTCTCACTCTCTCTCTCAAATAAATAAAATCTTTAAAAAACAAAAAGATAAATAACTGATACAAGAAAAAATAATTAAACTTGATAATGAAACAAATTTGTTATGATATTAACTGATCAGACAGACTTTGGTTGTTTTTTTCCCCTAATGAACAAATGAACAAATATATTTCAACAACATTGCCAAAGTTACTTGGCAAGCAAGGAACCATGTAAATCTCAACTTGAGTGGAAAATAATAATAAATAGATGCCAATAATGAGATGAAATGGATATTGAGATTATACGTTAAAGACTTTGAAACAGGTATTATAAAAGTGCTTAAATGAACAATTGTGAACATCCTTGAAATAAATGTTAAAATAAAAAGAATCATGAAAAAAAATGGAAGGTATAAAGAAGAAACAAATAGAAATTTTAGAATAAAATTATACAATAACCAAAATTAAAATCTCATTAGATAGAAATAATAGCAAAATGGAGAGGAGACAAAGGAAAAAATCAGTGAACTTGAACATAGAGTGATAGCAGTTATCCAATCTTGAACAATACAGAGAAAAAAAGATTGGCAAACAAATTAACAAAACCTCAGGGACGGGGCGACTGGGTGGCTCAGTCGTTAAGCGTCTGCCTTCGGCTCAGGTCATGATCCCAGGATCCTGGGATCGAGCCCCCCATCGGGCTCCCTGCTCCGCGGGAAGCCTGCTTCTCCCTCTCCCACTCCCCCTGCTTGTGTTCCCTCTCTCGCTGTGTCTCTCTCTGTCAAATAAATAAATAAAATCTTAAAAAAAAAAAACAAAACCTCAGGGACTTGTGGGACAACCAAAGTTCTAATATACATATTGTTAGAGTCTCAGAAAGACAGGAGAAAGAGTATAGTGCTAAACAAACATTTGAAGAAATAATGGCTGAAAACTTCACAAATTTGGCAAAAGGCATAAATATATAAATTCAGGAGGCTGACTGGACTACAAAGAGACTAAACCAAAAGAAAAACACCATCAACCAACTGAGTCTAATTGACATTTACAGAACAGTCCACCCCAAAACAGAATAGGCATTGTTTTCAAATGCACATGGAGTATTCATCAAGGTGGACTGTATTCTGGGTCATACAACGACCTTAAATTTAAAATAATTGAAATCATAGAAATACATTCTCTGATCATAAAGATATTGAACAAGAAATTAATAACAGAAATATGTCAGGAAAATCTTCAAACACATATGAAATAACACAATTCTAAATAGTATGTGGGTCATATATCTCAACAGATATTAGAAAAGTTTTTTTTTTTAAGATTTTATTTATTTGACAGAGAGAGAGAGCGAGAGAGGGAACACAAGCAGGGGCAGAGGGAGAGGGAGAAGCAGGCTTCCCACAGAGCAGGGAGCCTGATGCGGGGCTTGATCCCAGGACCCTGGGACCACGACCTGAGCCAAAGGCAGATGCTTAACCAACTGAGCCACCCAGGCACCGGTAGAAAAGATTTTTAAGTGAAAATAAACATGTGAAAATTTATATGGTACAGCTGAGTCAATGATAACAGGGAAGTTTCTATCATTAAATACATAGAAAAAATCTAAAATTAATAATCTAAACTTAAATCTTAGGAAGCCAGTTTTAAAAAATAAGCAGAAATCAAGCAGAAAAGAAAGACGTAATAAAGAACAGAAATCAATGAAACTGGAAAAAAAAAAACAATAGACAAAATCAATGAAACCAAAATCTGGATATTTGAAAACATCAATACAATTGATAAACATGAAGCAAAACTTGACTAAGGAAAAAAAAAGATACAAGGCACAGATTATCATTATCAGGTATAAAAAAAAGGGGGGATATCACTAGAGACTCTGCAGACATTAACAGAATATTAGGAAAAAAACTACTTATATACATAAATTAGAAAACAAAAAGGAAATGAACCAAATCCCCCAAAATCACAAACCAGCAAAACTTGTGCAAGATGAAATAGGTAACATGATAGTCTTATAACTATTTAAGTGATTGAATTATTTAACTTCTAGGAAAAAATCTCCAGGTCTAGAGAAGAACAGCAACAACAGCAAAAGGAGGAGGAGGAGGGAGAGAAACTACAGACCAATATCCCTCATGAACATAAATAAAAAATTTTTCAACAAAACACTATCAAAATGAATCAAGCAACATATAAAAAAATAGTACACATGACCAGTTAGGGCTTATCCCAGAAATTCAATGCTGGTTCAGTATTTGAAAATCTCATCAATAAAAATAATCTAAAGAAGAAAAGCCACATGATCATATAAATAGATGCAGAGAAAGCATTTGACTAAATATGACATCCATTCATTATTTTAGAAAAGAGTCAGAAAACTAAGAAAAGAAGTGATATTCCTCAATATCATAAAAGACATCTACGAAAAAACCTAAACCTACTGTTACACTGAGTGGTGAAAGACCAGATGATTTCCCCATAAGATCAGGGTCAAGGCGAGAATGTCTACTCTCACCACTTCTACTCCTATTCAACACAGGACTGAAAGAAAGTCTTAGGAGTAAGTGCAGTCGAGTAAAAAAATATATAAAGGGGAAGGAGGAAGTAAAACAGTCTCTGTTCTCAGATGAAAGGATTGTCTATATAAAAATTAAACAGAATTTTAAAAATCCTAGAACTAGTAAGTTAAGTAAGATCGCAAGAATAGGGTCAAAACACAAAAGACAACTGTATTTCAATGTGCTAGCAATATACATTGTATTCCAAAATTTTAATAAATAGCATTCTTTACAATAGCTCAAAAAATAAAAGAAATACTTAAGTATAAATCTAACAAAAATGTACAAGATCTGTATGCTAAAAACTACAAAATGATGACCAAAGAAATGAAAGAAAACCTAAATAAATGAAAAATATACTGTGTTGTTGGATTAGAAGTTTCCACATGGTAAAGATGTCAGTTCTTCCCAAATTGACCTGTAG